ACTGTTTAAAAGTTCAAGGCCCATTGCACTAATCTTTTGGCTGTCACGAAACAAAAATGAGGTTGACCATTTATCATCTTTGGTTTGTGATTATTTTTACTCCATTGCCCATGTTGATCATTGACGACAACGATAGTTTTTTAAGCGGTTTTCCGTTCCGAATGATTAAAAAAATAGATTTCATACGTTGAATTCACTGACCCTTATTCGCCCTTACATAACGTTTTATGGTTATGACAAATTCGGATCGGCCACGGGATTTGAACATGTGCACTTTCTATATTTCACAAGCCTTGGTGCGCCTACGTTTGTTTCAAGCTTCATTGTTATTCTGGAATAGAGGAAAAAATGGTTATTAACCATCAGAGAGGGAGGCTGCCCTCGATAAATAAGCTATGTAAATTAGCGAGAAGATACGGCCACACGTTGCCCTCAAAACTATCGGCACTATTTGTTTCGACACTATTTCCTATTTTCGCAACCTAGCAGCAGGCCCCCCAGCTCCGTCGGATGACGTCTTATAAACGTCGAACTGAACGTTGTACGGATTGTGGGTATTGAATGATTCTGCGGTCCAGTTTGGGAATTCATGGATAACGAGAGAGTTCGCAAAATGCAGGAAATAAAACAATCAACTCGAGCTGGACATTGTATCTAATAAGACAAATATATACAGTAGGATGTTTCGTAAGTGACGCAGCAAAAATTGCTCCACTGGCGGATGGCGGCTGGCGGCCAAGAAACATCTCACCATATTTGACGCGGCCATAGGCGTCTTTTTGTCACAATCTTAAGAACAAATGTCAAATTAATTACGGAAAAAATTGTGCAACGAGAAAACCAACAATTTGAAAATTTTAGGGTAAAAATTCCAAAATAATTGGATATTCTTAATTACTATGTGATAGGGATTTTTTTGACAAATAAGGTTAAAAAAAAACTACATTAGCAGTTGTCAATTATCTTTTAAAAGCCAAATGGACCTCAATTATCTTATACAATTGGACTTCGAAGTGAACTGAAGAATTAGTACGACTTGACACTACGACCTGCTAATTGAGGAGCGGCCAATTCTATTAAATACGGTTTCCCAACTCTACTAATTAAATTCACCAATTAAAGAAAAACAGTTTGAATTTCTTTTTCTACTTCATGGAGACGATTTCAGTCAGGACAATGAATACGTCAGGGGAGTTGGTGGCGTCCACTCCCCTAGAGTCTATACCTCAGAGGAGTTACCTCCCCTGTTATGCGGTTGGGAGTCCATAAGCCATAACCCAGGAGATCGTCGCTTTCCAAACGAGCCCTCAACGCATGAAATATATAATCTTGCCTAAAACTAAAGTTCTAAAATGCAGTTGCACAAATAAATACATTCACGCCTACGTACATTGCATTCATTCTGATTAGTCGGTGGAATACTAGATATTCCTCCATCGACCCATATTAATAATATTAACAATTCACTAGTTTTCGTGGTCCGCTTGACCAATTAATATCTTTCAATTAATTAAGGTTTTTAGTTGAGATAAAAAAGTCAATGTCACGAGCGGGATTCGAACCCACGACCTTCGGCTAGGTACGCCGCTACTCTACAATTAATATTAACAATCTAATCTAATCATGAAGTACTTTTATTAATATTCCGCCATCGCGCCTAAATGCATACGCGCTATATTTCACCATCAGACCTTCACCACCCATTTTAATAAATACACGCACTCAAACAAGACACATACCGCAAAACGCTTGAAATAGATTATTATTTGGAGGTCGTGAGATGCGGATGCGGTCCGGTGAGGTCTCACGACCTCCAAATAATCATCAACTAACGGTCACTAAACACCACACATTTCTTGAAATAGATGTTCATTTTTAAAAAAGCCTCCAAGGAGCGGAACATGGGACCAAGGAGCTCGCTTCCATGCGAGAACCATTCATAAATTCGGCAGCATGCCTACACGCTCTCTGTAAGGAGCCAAGGCATAACAAGCTTCTATTATGTGGAACACTTTAAGCAACCTTTCTCAGCGGGCTTTGACTCAGGAGTAGGTAGCCCTACTTACCCTTATATTCTCGGTATTTAACGATAAAGATAAACAGTCGTATTAATTTTTAACTTTGTTTTTTCAACAATCGATTTTTTGAACTATTTCTTTCAAATTAGAGTAGGCAAATATATTTTATGATATTGTACTAACAATAAATGTAATATCACAAAAAAGACTTGAATTGATTTTTCCAGGGGGTAAAGGTCCCGGGTTCGATTCCAGCAGCCCTACATTCGAACCCGACATACAAATGGGCTTTTTTTCAAAAACACCGGCACCCTGAGGGTTATATGACCTCTGTTGTTGCAAACTCTCGTTTAAAAAAAAAAAAAAAAAAAACGGTGACCCGGGAAAAAGTGCACAATTAGGGTTGGCGGCAAAGAAAGAAGGAGACATAGAAATTCCTGATTTTTAATTAAAAAATATTTAATTATGATGGTTTGAAAGAAAATTCACCAAAACACCGGAAAATCCTTTAGAGGTAGAATGAATTTAACTGCAATTTTATTGTCTTGTTTAACAACATAACAGCGGCGTCAGTAGCCAGTTTAGGCGTTGACATGGAGCTCATCACTGTAAGGTAAAGGTCCTAGGTTCGAATCCAGCGGTCCTGCATTTAACAAAGGTCCCCCCCCCCAAAAAAAAACACCGGCACCTTTAAGGTTGATTTTTCAAAGTGAGGAGGTTCGAATCCCGCTCGTGCCATTGACTTTTTTATCTCAATTAAAAACCTTAATTAATTGTAATATATTAATTAGTCAAGCGGACCACGAAATTAGTGAATTTAATGATTTAAAATGAAGTATACTTCACTAGAGCTCTCCGTGGCCATTTCACTTGTCGTCGAGAAACCAATCCGATTACACATTTGAAAATGGCAAAAAGGAGGGAAAATTCCAAAGGTGGGGTTGAGATGGGAAGTTGGTGTCCGAATGGATCGAGGTCACGATAGCTCAAGTGGTAGAACAGCGGCGTATCTAGCCGAAGATCGTGAGTTCGAATCCCGCTCGTGCCATTACTTTTTTATCTCAACTAAAAACCTTAATTAATTTTTTTTAAATTGTTGACTAAATTTTAATTTTTTCACTAAATGATTTTCCGGTGTTTAGGTGAATTTTCGTTCAAAGTAGCATAATATCTTTTATTAAACTCCTGATTTTTTAATCAAATTTAATTAGGCTTAAATTAATATAAGTAAGTTTTAATTAATATAAAAATACATCTAGTCTGAAACAAACAACAAAATCCGACCGGTGTCTCGTTTCCCCCCTCCCCCCAGTGTATTTCAAGAAAAGATCAAAATTTCGAAGTAACAAACCAACGTTTTTCCGAAAATTTTGTTAACGCAATTTATTGATCGCTTTCGAGTTTTATCGAGTAGATTTCAATAGAGACACATGGGGAAACTAAGGCTATGATCTTGCCAGTATTTAACACTTCACATAATTCAAAAAAATATTTATCTGCTCTTCTTATCATCGTGAGCTTTCAAGAAGGTCTTGACAGATTAACACAAACAGTTTCTACATACATATATTTGTAATCGTTTATCGCTCAGGAATAATTTCCATTTGATCGAATTAAAGAACAGACATGAACATATCAAATATTTCACCAGCTACGTTTTATCACACTTCTGACATCAGTTTTGGCTTTTGCAATTGTCAAATGATAAAAGTATTAAGGTCGTCCTTATTTGGAGGTCCTTGGATAATCAATAATGTCCAATGTAAACGTGCCAAGGGTTTATTCCGGTGAAACTCATCAATCCAATTGTCTGACCTTATTTACAGTTCATCGGTGAATTGAATAAGATATTGAAGGCTCGAGAAAACTTTTATTTTTATAGATTGTCCCCCTTTAACCAAGTGGCTGGTTTCATCGAGTCGTCGAAGAAATTTCAATTTTTTTCTTCCTTTTTTCACACTTCCTGATTAAATGTGACAATAAATACTTCGATAACGTCAGAGTGAAAGAAATACCGGTTACATCACATTAGAACAAAAAGGCACGTTTACTCTGGTTAAGGAGGTCATGTATTAATAGATTTTACATACCAGGAGTGCCTTTATGAACGATCGATTTCGAGGAAATAAATATTTGGTCTGACAACGATTAACTCTGAGCTGTATAAATTGTCAATTGGCATGCATATTAAAATCCCAAAATTAACACATCAAATACACAAGCAATATTGTGTCGGCTGATTTCGGAGTTTTAAAAATTACCGGTGTTAATTAACATCATTTAAGTCATTCCTAATCCTTATCTAGGTTTGGCCCTAATTGATTACTTAATAAATCCATTCACGACGGGATGATCTTTTAACGTGTTTTGTTCATCATGGCATTTTATCCACTCTGAACGATATTATTATTATTATTATTAATACCAAACCGTATTTTATTTGATATCTAATTTCATAAACCCGATAAAAGAAATATATTTCTAAACATGTCAATTCAAAAAAGAAAAGAAGAATGTAGAATGATGATTGTTTGTAAATGGAGTAGAGTATGGAGATGAGGGCATGAGCACAAGGATTCAGGATAACGTGAAAGTGTTGGTGGGGAGTGAAGTAGGTGACCACATGTCAATGGAGCTCCACTCTCACTCTCCTAGACAATCACGGCCCAGATACCGAATCTATCATCCTATTTTTTTTCTTCTCGCCCCCCTTTTGAGCTTTTGGAGAAAAGTCGGTTTTCCACTGAGAGCAGATTCGAAACTCCTTCGCGCAAGAAGAGTTTTCCCTTAAAGAAAGTCAAATTCTGCGAGGGCTATTAAACCCCTGAGAAATATCTTCTATATTGACAAATACGTCAATTAGTTTAGCCAAATAATATTATACAAATGATATTTTATAAAAATATTTATCGTAATTTTAAATATTCAAAGTTGCGATTTCAAGAATATAATGATGATTGATAATCGTTATTTTATTTTTACCTTTTGAGAATTTCATCCTGCTATTTTCTCGGTTTTAAGAGTGTACAAGATCTCTTCTTACCTGAAATTTAAAGATTCAATTTTAAAAAAACCACTAAGTTCTGTGTAAATAAATCACTAATACAACAAATAATTAAAAGCATTACGCTTAGCTTTGTTTCCAAGGTGTCACCCCTTGGTTGTTTTTATGCAACATCATTGCAGTTATTGTATTTTTAATAAAAATGCTTGTAGAATTTGATTTAACTACATCGTCCAATAGCAAGGTGAAGCATTAAAATATTCAGACCAAAATTTAAAAAAAATCAATAATTTATAAACCTATTTATAAAACTGATCACTGATATTTGAGAAATGACCGAACATTTACATCACAGGGGGAACGTTAAATTACATGATTATTTGGAGATCTTGTGTGATTTAGGTTAAGAAAAACATTTTATTTATTGTGCCAACGTTTCGATATTTATTTAGATCATCTTCAGGGCTCAAAGTGTGTCTTTTCTGTGTAGATATGTCACTGTTGTGTGTCATGTTGAGAGTGTTGTACAGTTGTTGTCACTAAATACTAAACACGCGTTAAATTTCTTTGAAAATTTTCTTTCTTCAGGATGATCCCAAAACCTAAAAACTTAATCACCTTCCTAGCTAGCTTCTACATATCAGCCCATTTCGCCCATTAGAGACAAAATACTGGAACTGCTCCCATTGATCCGCGAAATTCCTACTCACAATTCCCCATCATTAAATCGGCTTTCGTAGTTATCATTCGTCTGTCCGACAAGCACATCGCACATCCATTGAGCTAAAGCAATATTGTCCTGGTGTGTTCTTGTATACCAAGCCTTGACCAGTATAACACTCTGGTCAATTATGGAAGCTCAAGAACGTCCTACCAGCAAAGTATTACCTTATCCTAACATTTTAAAGATTGTTACTTCCAAGTATAACACAAAACTTTATTTTCTCCTATCCTCCTATTCTAGCAGGGATCCCCCAGGGCATTGTTCTCACTTCTCTGCTTTACTCAATCTATACCTCCGACACAATACAAAACCGTACACTATCACCCTCACATTTGCTGATAACACCACTATCTTTACTCCTGATGAAAATCCCGTCCTTCCAGTTATCTCGAAAATCACTTAAATATAGTTGAGTACTAGCTCCGACAGTGGATAATCGAGGTTAACGAAACAAAATCAACATACATAATATTCACCCTAAACAAGAAAGCCCAGTTAGTAATCTTCAACTATGTTCCCATCCCTGTTGCGAATCGTGCCGATACCTCGGACTCCACGTGGATAAACGACCGACATACACGACTTAAGGGCAGATTGCAACACACAGTTTATCATGTTAAAACGACTGCTCGATAGACTCACACTGACAAACAAAAGAAAAGTTTGCATTGCCCTTGTATTTGTAGTTTAACTTTATGGGACTGCTAAGCGTTACAACCTTAATCGAATCCAATCCTGCCAATCTAAAATCCTCAGAATAGTCAATACCCCTTTCTATTTTCCAATCTCTCCATCGTTACCGACCTAAATGTTCCTCTTATTACTCATCTAACCCAATTCCGATACAAAAAGTTTCATTCCAAACTATCCCATCATCCGAACCCTTTCGTCAGTCTTCCACCAAATTACCTAATAATCACAGAAGCGTCGGTGGCTTCGCGAGAAACTCCCTACTTGACATCGGTCTCCTAGGATGGAGCCCATCCCACTCACCGTGTTGAAGTAATTACGGCTTCCATCACTAGATGGTTGTGCACGTTACCATGTTATTGTTAAAATGTACATACTACATGTTATTTGTTCATCCAACGAATGCGGTTGTAAAAAAAAAAGTTATAAAAATGGACCACTTCAAAATAAATAAAATATGATAATTTTTAACACTAGGCATGTGCCTTTTTAAAATATACTTAATAGATTCAATTTGTTGATCCTGAGTACTATAATTTCACGCATTTCTTTATTCCAAAATAGAGAACTTGTAATTTAATTCAAATTGCGTATCTCATACTAACGAAGCGAATGTAAAGAAAATCAAACTTTCTTAAGAGAAAGAAAATGAAGGCAAGAACACATGTATTCAAAATCTAAAAGAAACAACAAATTGCTTCTAATGCACAAACATAAAAATTATTGGGTTTTGGTTGAGATAAAAAGTCAATGTCACGAGCGGGATTCGAACCCACGACTTCGGCTAAATACGCCGCTTCTCTACCACTTGAGCTATCTTTGACTTCGATCCACTCGGACACCAACTTCCCATCTCAACCCCACCTTTGGAATTTTCCCTCCTTTTTGCCATTTTTTATCTCAACCAAAACCTTAATTAAAGATTAATTTATTGAAAAGAATTTATTTAGTCAATCGGACCACGAAACCTAATAGATGTAATAATTGACAAACAAATAATTTCAAGAGGCATTTTTAAGCCAATTAATCGAAATAGTTTGGGCAAAGAGAGAAATTAAGAAAGAATTAAAAGATATATATTATATATTCTCCTATAAAATAAGATATGGAGATGTATTGATCCAAAAAGATATATTGGTATTATATGTATTGGTACTGCATACTGAATACTTTGTACAGGAGGTACAATGAAAAATTCCATTTAAAAACAGTGATGAATGGTAAAACGAAAAAGCGATATGAAGTTTATGTTAGTTTAATAGGTTAAACCGAGTTAGGAAACAAAACAATTTTGAATATTACTGTAAAATTAACAAACTTAATAATATTTTGTGTCATGTTTATTTAATAAAAAATTTCATGCTAGTTTATATGAAAGGACAATATCCCGAAATTGGGGCACATTGCCAATAGGGTAGACGGGGCTGGTGCTGAGGAAAAGGTAGGTTGTTTATCTGTGCCACAGGAGATTGTCCGATCACGGAATAGGAGGAAAGAGGGTTATGTAGAAGAGGTGAGGTGTGTGTTCTGGATTACACAGTTTCTGTTTTCGAGGGCAGACTCACATTTGTTGGGTCGACGCCGCTTATGGAGAAGGGGGGCTGACCCCAATACTAACCCCACAACCTTAGCCCCTTCCCCCCTCGCAGTGAAAGTAAACTCTTCCAAAGTCCATAACTTACACACAGACACGGGCACAGTTGTCATGTTCCAATTACCACCGGGTCCTCCCACCATCTCTCACCCCGTTCACAAGACGCGCTTTGCCCCTTGGGCGATTTGGAAAAAATCAACGCCCCCTTCTGTTCTTATTCTTTGTTATTTCACAAAAAACCCTGCTGCTCAACCACCAGTTTTTTTATATTACACATGCATTAACGAATTTTAACGGTTTTTTACTTTTGTTCTTATCTGTTACAAAGTTATAATCTATAAAGCATCGCCAGGGAACTTATCATATTCGTAGAATTAAACTCTATCTGTTTTCTATATAAATGTCCTAATTTATTGTCTAAAAATTGAACAACAAGAAGGGCACAGAAAAATTTTTGCCTGGCATAACGGAAGCGTCGGTGAAAGTCGCAGAAGCATAGCCAATCACGCTGATAAATACAATCTATGTGTGGTGTTTAGTGACAGTTAGCCAATGATTATTTTTTGATCGTGAGGTGCGGTCTGATGAGACGTAGGTTTTAGAAAAACATTTTCTTTATCATGCCAACGTTTCAATCTTTATTGAGATCATCTTCAGGGCTCAAAGTGTTTATTTTCCGTGAACATTATGCTGCATGTATGTGTATGAAATGTACATTTATATATTATTATACTACATATATTATATTAAATGTAAATAGTATATATTATTACATTATATTTAATATATTATTAACACTTCTAGTTCGAAATGAACAAAGAACGAAAGAATGGCATAAGACCACACTAATGAAATGCAGTAAATTTTGTTTATTTAGAACAGATTCATCAATATGATGACATCCAATCACTTCAAATCGCAAGTTTTTGGGGGGATAGTTGTAAAATATACCATTAAAAACATATAAAGAATAAAGTAATACAGATTAAAAAATGATATGGAAACATAAAACAGTGATTAATAATATACGATTTACAATACTTTACTTAATACATAAACAATTTTTGATGATATTCTCGAGCTAGCTGAATTTCAAATCCCAGGATTTTTTTAGGGATACTCGTAAAGTAGTCTCTTAACAACGTATGTAAAGAATAAACTAACGCTGATTTAGAAAAGAAAAGATATGACAGCCTAAAACAACGATTAATAACAGCTTAAACGATTTTGGTTCAGTTGATCCAGTTCGATCCAGGTGAACTCAAATCCCTGGATTTCTTTAGGGATACTCTTAAAACACTGCCTAAAAAACATACCTAAATAATAAACTGTAATCGTAGTGGTCATAATGTTTATAGTCGGCGATAATTATTACAAGCCATGGATATATTCATCACAAAAAATGGAACTATCCATAGGGGGATAATTTGTTCACTTTCACACGTTGTGTGTTCATGCTATAAACATACGAACTGAAAACGAGCAAAGCCACCTCATTCGGTCAGATTATAAAAGCCCATATCGGAAATAATAGACCAGCCTACACATATAAGAATAGGTGAACAAAGACGCCCACAAAAGTGAAAACAGCATCGTAATAGTAAGAAAGCGGAGTGAGAGGAGAATAGTGTCGTAACAAGAGATACTAGTTAATAAATTGCAACGAAAAATAATAAACAGCGGTCCTTGCCTTAGCTTATAAGATTACTTTTTTTTTATTAAACTTATGGTACAATAAAAATCTATCCTTTTTCTGTTTAAAATGTCAAATAATACGTGACAAGTCGTGTTTGAGATATTCATTCCACTTGTTCCTCTGATCAAAGTTCTTTAATCAAAAGCCTGTACAGTTTTTAAATACAAAATCTCTTGTACTTCTTCTCAAAGCATCGATCACCTTAGACGCACGCTTTTTCTTTTCTTTTTCCCCCAAAAAAGTTTCATTTTTTCCACTTCGTTATGTTCTTATCCGGCGAATTAACACAATTAGAACATCCTTTTCAAAGTTAACTTTCCTTTTTTTGGCTCGAT